CCATATTCACCGGGGTGCGGTGAACCAGACTCTATGTCCTTTTTGGACAACCTGTTCGTGTTGTTAGGTCGTGCAAAAAAACCACAAGAGAGTACAAATGAGAGTATATACCAGTGAGTCTGCCTCCACCGGCTCGACTGGGGGTGCATGCGGAGGAACGGTCTAGTGTCTGTGGAGTGCCTGTGCCAGAACTCATCAATGTCAAATATCTCAGGTAAAAGTGTCGGGAGAGCACAGAACTCGTCTATATGTGTATACGCAGGAGCATAGAGCCCAATCCTCCATCCGAGCTCAGCCACAGTGATGGAGTGCTCAATGCCCATGATAGTGAATCTCATCTGAGTCGCCGGCCCAATGACAGATCCTGTGTGCACAGTGTGGCCGTAGTGAGTGAAGCGTTGAACTCCCTGTCAATGGAAAGCTGGCTTTCTCCTGTATGGATAGAATCCCACGCCACAAGGAATCTCCCAGTAGAGCATCAATGTCGGCCCAATATCCCCATTCCTCGAGCATCCTCTTATCCAGGATCATGGGAGCTAGAAGAGTGCGGTACTGCCCCCACGTCTGGAAGCGTGTGCGGTCAGCATCAGTCGCAAATGGGATATCTGGCACGTGCAATGGGTCATCCCTAGTCAGTGGTGGCTCCTGATAGATGGGATTGTCGCTTCCTCCTCCAGACATCTGCAAAAATCAAAATAACATTTTTTAAGGTTAGTTTTTTTTTAAATAATGGGTTGCCTCCCAATGAGCGCTTCTTTAACGTCACTAGCTTGACGAATTTCCTCCTTTGGTTCAAAATTTCTGGAGATAGAGAATCTCCTTGCTTTTTTCGACCGGGCCACCGTGGTAAAGTTTGAGTTGGTGGCCATTGACCTTAAAGGGACCCCCGCTTGCATCTTCGATCTCGATGGTGCCATAGGGGTAAGTTTTCATGACCGTGAACGGTCCGGACCATCTTGATTTCAGTTTTCCCGGAAAAAGTTTTACCCGGGAGTTGAACAGTAGCACCTTGTCCCCAGCATTGAAACCACGGGCCTTGATGTGTTGATCATGATAGAGTTTGGCCTGTTCTTTGTAAAGTTTGGAATTATGAAAAGCTTGCGCTCTCCACTCTTCCAGTTCATTTAGCTGGTAAAATCGTTCTTTCCCTGCAGCATCAAGTTTGAAACACACATTTTTCATCGCCCAAAGTGCTTATGTTCGAGTTCAACGGGTAAGTGGCAAGACTTCCCGTATACTATGCGAAATGGGGTGGTTCCGATCGGGGTTTTGTATGCGGTCCGAAATGCCCAAATTGCGTCGTCAAGTTTAGTTGACCAGTCTTTCCTAGTCTGGGCAACACTTTTCTCTAAAATGGACTTCAAATCCCTGTTAGCGTTTTCAACCTGCCCCTGAGTCTGGGGTGGTATGCTACTCCGCTTCGATGCTGGACTCCATATTTGGCCAAAAGTCTGGCCATTGGGTCATTATGAAAATGAGTCCCTCTGTCACCGATCAAAACCCTAGGCACACCGAACCTCGTAAACAATTTTTTCAAAAAATTCACGACTACTCGAGAGTCGTTAGTGACGCAGGCCTGAGCTTCAACCCACTTGGAAACATAATCAATGGCCACAAGAATGTATTTGTTCCCTCTTGAGCTGGGAAATGGTCCAACAAAGTTGATGCCCCAAACATCAAATACCTCACAAGGTAATATATAGTGTTGGGGCATCTCATTGTGCCCAGAAATGTTCCCTATTCGCTGACACTTATCACAAGAGGAAACAAATACATTAGCATCTTTAAAAATCGTGGGCCAGAAGTACCCACAGTCCAGAACCCGTCTGGCAGTTCTATTCCCTGAAAAGTGGCCCCCGGTAGGACCGCTGTGACAATGTTTCAGTATGTCTCTTCCCTCAGCTTCAGTAACACATCTTCTCACCACCTGGTCAGCACAAATTCGGAATAGATATGGATCATCCCAAAAATAGTGCCTTGCTTCTGACAGGAACCGCCTCTTCATGTGCCTTGTTAGGTCGGTAGACTCGACGTTACCAACAAGGTAGTTGGCAATGTCGGCATACCATGGTGTTTGTTCTTTGGCGGATATTGCCATTAACCTCTCCGCAGGAAAAAGTTCATCCACCTCGCATCTTCCAAAGGTTTCTGCTAATTCGACATCTAACCTTGAAAGGTGATCAGCTGCCTGATTAGCAGATCCCTTCCGGTCCCTGATTTCAATATCAAATTCCTGCAACAAAAGAACCCAGCGTAACAGTCTAGGCTTAGCATCATGCTTTTGGAGGAGATATCTAATGGCCGAATGATCGGTATAGATAATAACCTTCGAAAGAATGATGTAAGTCCTAAACTTCTCTAAAGCACAAACAATAGCAAGGAATTCTTTTTCAGTGGTGGTGTAGTTCAGTTGTGGCCTGGACAGAGTTTTGCTAGCGTAGTAGATCGGGTGGAAGTTCTTGTCCTTACTTTGGCCGAGAATGGCTCCCACTACTAAGTCACTAGCGTCACACATGAGTTCGAAAGGTAAACTCCAATCCGGGGCCACAAGTACTAGAGCATTGATAAGTTGTGTTTTAAGTGTTTGGAAAGCTTGGTGACATTCATCAGAGAATATAAAAACCGCATCTTTTTCAAGTAACCGGGTGAGAGGTTTTGCGATTTTAGAGAAATCCTTTATAAAACGACGATAAAAGCCCGCATGTCCCAAGAAACTGCGGATGGCTTTTACCGTGGTTGGTGGAGGGAGTTTCTCTATCGTTTCAATTTTCGCACGGTCAACCTCGACCCCGTTACTTGACACTTTGTGTCCAAGTACTATACCCTCTTTCACAAGGAAGTGACATTTCTCCCAACTTAAGGTTAAGTGGGTTTCCTTGCAGCGGATAAGTACTTTTTCCAGGTTTTCAAGACATTTTTCAAAGGATTCCCCAAAAATAGAGAAATCATCCATGAATACCTCCATGAAGTGGCCAATGTATTTCTCAAATATGACAATCATGCACCTCATGAAAGTGGCAGGGGCATTACAGAGACCAAAAGACATCCTACGAAAAGCAAAAGTCCCAAAAGGGCATGTGAACGTAGTTTTGTCTTAGTCTTCCGGGTTGACATGGATTTGGAAGTATCCACTCATGCCATCCAGGACACAATAATGACTATGGCCTGCCAACCTCTCTATTAATTGATCGATGAAGGGGAGGGGAAAATGGTCCTTCCGGGTGGCTTCATTCAATTTGCGGTAATCAATTACCATTCGCCACCCGGTAACAGTTCGACTGGGCAGAAGTTCACCCTTTTCATTTTTCGTGACAGTCATTCCCCCCTTTTTGGGGACAAGATGAATCGGGCTTACCCATTGGCTATCAGAGATGGGGTAAATGATACCCGCATCTAGTAGTTTGACGATTTCAGCACGCACTACTTCCATCATGTTTGGGTTCAAACGTCGTTGTGGTTGGACGTCAGGTTTAAACCCTTCCTCGATCTTGATGGTGTGGGTACAAAAGGTTGGACTTATTCCATTGATGTCCTCAAGTTTCCAAGCAATTGCTTGCTTGTGTGTCTTAAAGACTCAAAGTAATTTGCCCCTTTGTTCCTCACTTAAGTGTGCGGCGATGACGACAGGGCATTTGTCTTCGTCATCCAAGAATGCGTATTCTAAATGGTCAGGGAGTTTCTTTAGTTCGAGGGGGCGGTCATTTCTTAAGTTTTGTTCATTTTTCTCCCCCCCCCCCCCCCCCCCCCCGAACTCAGACAATACTTCATGAGAAGCTTGCTCAATTATCACGTCCTCACAACTCTCACATGCATCAATCATGTCACTGTTTGCTTCTTTTAACAGACATGCTTTATCACTTACATGTCCATTCTCTCCCCCAAACAGATACCCTTCAATTGATTCGAAAGTATCAAGAAAATGACATCCTTGAAAGGAATATGTGGGGTGTTTCATAACATCTGAGAGTCGGAAGGTGCATAAATCATCTTCGACTCTTAAAGTTAATGAGCCATCAGTGACATCAATCAAGGCCCTGGCGGTAGCCAGAAAGGGCCTTCCCAGAATAAGAGGTGTTTTCCTATCCTCTTCCATGTCCATTACTACAAAGTCGACTGGGAAAATGAATTTGTCAATCTTGACCAAGACGTCTTCAACAATTCCTTTCAGATATTTGACTGAGCGATCAGCCACTTGAAGACACATCCTGGTGGGTTTCATTTCCCCAAGTCCTAGCTTCTCGACTATAGAGGAAGGCATCAGGTTGATACTCGCCCCTAAGTCAGCTAGAGCATTATTGAAATTGAAATTGTCAATTGAATAAGGGATAGTGAAGCTACCTGGATCCTTTAGCTTTTCAGGTATTGACCTTAATTAGAACCACCGTTGAGCATTCTGCATTCGCTAGTACAAAAAAGGCTTTTCACATCGGTCAAAAAAGGCTTTTCACATCGGTCAAACAGCCGATGTGGTTCCAGCACATGTGAAAAGTATTGACTTTTGACATCGGTCAAACAGCCGATGTTAAAAAATTTTCTACATCGGTCGTTTAGTACCCGATCTAGAAGATAGGCCGAAACGGCGTTTTTAATGATATTTCACATCGGTTATAACGCATGTAAAAAAGAAACCACATCGGTTATTTTATAACTGATGTGAAAAGCTTTAATTTTTCCCGGAGCATTGGTTTTTCACATCGGTTATAACCCATGTAAAAAAGAAATCACATCGGCTATTTCACAACTGATGTGAAAAGCTTTGTTGTTTTTCGGAACATATGTGTTTCACATCGGTTATAACCCATGTAAAAACGAAATCATATCGGTTATTTCACAACTGATGTGAAAAGCTTCATTTTTTTCGGAACATATGTGTTTCACATCGGTTATAACCCATGTAGAAAAGCAATCACATTGATTATTTCACAACTGATGTGAAAAGCTTCACTTTTTCGGTATTTTTCATGAAAAAATTTTGCAATATGACCCCTGTTTATACTATAATCACATCATTAACAGTATCATCAACTACTATAGCACAATTTTTCACATGTTCACTTGATCCATCTAAAACAATAACACAAGCTAGTTTTCAATTCTTCCACAAATGTTAAACAAGTTCAAGTAACAACTTAGTACATAATAACAAGTTAAAATAAAACAATCCTTGCACAAGTCTAGAGTAATAACACATTGTACTTGTTTAACATCATCACTCAAAAACTTAAACAAACACGTTCATCATGTGTCGTTGATGGATTGCGTCATTTCTAAAAAATATGATGCCCAACGAGTCCGTACTTCATCAATCTCTTCTGATGAGAATGGTTCCGGATTGACGAATCGCTACAAATTAAATAAGAAGGCTATTAAAAAACATTACATGTTGAGCAAATCTATTGAATGTAAATAAAATAATAACGTACCTCATCCCACATTTCAAGAATTACCGCCGAAACAATATTCAACATATGCAACATTACATAATAACCACATTCATAACTCCCAACTTGCATCCGAGACTACAAATTAGAACAACATACTTACTAATCAGAAATTACGGTATTCGACTTGGTGCTACACAAATGAAAGTAAAAATAACATACAAAGTAAAGTAGTAAGTATTTACCATAGGAATAATCCATTTCACTCTTCCCTTTCTTGAGTTGAGCCTACGGCTTGCCTCCATTGCACTATGTAATTTATAATATTATATATATATAATAATAAATTATTTATGTAATTAAGATATTAAAACGGAATGTACAAAATACTTACGCATCAATAATATTTTTGAATTGTCTATTTGGCTTATTCCCCAAAGAACACAAGAAGACAATAGTGTTTTGGATAGGAGAGAGAATAAAGAGCTGCCAATAATTCCTGTATACATAAAAAAAAGGATAAAAGACAAACAATAATTTTTTTAAAAAAAATAATACATAAAAAAATATTTACTATAGTGTACACTTCTTACTCTAACATCTAAAAGAAAATCTTACTCTAACATCTTATCCATCTAAGGAAACACTTGTAGCAAAGAATGCATTACCCGCTAGTTCCTCTTAGCCAAGGAGTTATATCAAGTATCAACTTTGCAATTTTTCTCTTGCATCCCACCAGCCCCCTCCCCAGCTCCCCAGCCCCTTCCCCAGCTCCCCAGCCCCCTCCCCAGCTCCCCACCCACAATAAACAAATAAATCTTATCTATCCATTCAAGAAACATTAGCTCATAAAGTATCGTATTCAGAATATCACCTAGATTATATGATCTCAGAACAATCCTAAAAGACGTTAATTCATTAACTAAGGATACAAGAGTGAGAAAAGGCACCAGTTTCATGCTTAAAATATAAAATAGGGTTTTATGGAGAACCATGAAGTAAATTTGTGATTTATTTATACAACAGATAGTACATAGGGGTACATAGAGCCAAGTATGTGTTCTAGTAACTTTTACTTACTGGTAGTAATAAGGAGCCAAGTAACATTGCTTTCCACCTTCATTTAATCTTGTAGATATATACGTTTGCACCTCATTTAAAGAATTGCCTACTCTTTGAATGGTGTGTGGATCAATGAATCCATACACATGACCAATATTTCTGGATATGCACAAGCGGTGTAGATTCCTAACACAAAAAGGTTCAAGTAAATAAAAATCTATTTTAACTAATCTAATGAGTTAGCATTTGGGTGTCCTCAGAAATGATTTCATCACTGGACATGAATGGGGCAGGTGTAGTAACTGGACAGTCAAGCATTGGATCAGAGAGGATCTCTTCATTTCCTTTTCGGGCATCAAACAAAATTTTGCCAGCACCATAGGTGGCCGGTTCATTTCCTCGGTTACCGCCACGTTAAGGGTGGCCACCGGGGTTTCATCTAGAGCCACTGGAAGTTGGACAGAAACCTCAGCAGGAATTGAGTCATCAAAAGGGGCATCAGTGTGTTCAAATGGAGTATCTACTTCCAAGACAGAAAAATAAGAGGCACCTGTAACAGAAAAATCAGTAGGAACAGAAGCTGGTTTTTCAGCTTGCTGTGCAGCAGAGACCATGTTGATCGAACGAGAAGAGCCTGCAGTGACTTGAAGAGCAGAGGTTGTAGCACCAGACTTTACAGGGGCACTTAGAGCATCAACTTCTGTAATTTGAGGTGCACGGGCAGCCTTAACAGAGGCAACAGGGGCATTTTTACTAACTGCAATCTGAGTATAACAAGGTACATCAATAGCATCACGAATACATGTTGGTTTCGGATCCAGTAAAGCATCCCCAGGAGGAGCAGAGGTTGCAACACCTTCCTCATTTACAGGGGCACTTAGAGCACCAACATCTGTAACTTGAGGTACAGGAACATCAATAGAATAAACTGTCTGGGATTCCACAAGGGCTTTAGTAGCAGGGGAAGCTACTGCAAATTCAGAATTATCAGCATTTGTAGGGACAATAACATTACTAAAAGAAACAGCCTGGTTATTGGCAGTAACAAGAGCATCAGTAACAGAAATTGTGTTGTTATTTTTAGGGGAAATAACATCAATAACAGAAACTGCCAGGGAATTGGTAACATCATTGACAGGGACGACACTTGCATTATCAAAGATCACCTGGGCCTGTAAAGGTCTGCCAGAAACCATATCAAAAGAAGCTGCGGTTTTTTTCAAAGGGGGCAATTCAATGGAATCGGGGACAGCAAAAACAGTTCTCAAAGCATCAACCTGTGAGACCTTAGTTGAGTCAATAACAGTCTTAGGGACACCAGCAGTAGATTATATTCCAATAACAGGGGCACAAACATCAATCTGTGAGATCACATCCTGTTGATTTGGCACCGAATATTTGGGGCACTCTGTAGCATTGTGCCCAAATCGAGAGCATTTTTTACAGAAAATAGGTAGGTTTTCATACACAATTTTCTGAAAAAAACCGAAAGCACCGTTGCCAATCCAAATTTTTTGGGGGAGTTCAAGAGAGATATCCAATTCAGTACACAACCTGGCTGTAGATGGTCTGGAAAAGTTGGCGGTTGGGGTATCAATTCTTATCGGTTTGCCTAAGAGCTTAGAAATAGCATTCAAGGCCCTTAAGTCATGAAGGTGGACTGGAAGTCCGTCGAGGGAGATCCAGATAGGGGCTAGGGGAGAGTCCCGTTCAACGGAGAAGTTGGGCGTCCATCGGGTAACCATCATCTGGTACCCAAAGAAATCCCATAGTTTTTTCTCCCAAAATTTTTGAAAATCGAGGTCGGACTGAAAATTAATTAGAATAATGTTCGAGTGAAGCAACCCCACGGAATAGCTCTGTAAAAACCCTAACCGTTCAAAAGCCTTACGAATCGCAGGGATAGGGGGGCGACCCAAAGGAAAAGTACCAACCAGAGCAAACCGGAAAGGGTGGGAGAGAACCTGTAAGTCATCATCAGAGAAGGAAACCGCCGGAACGCCCCTGAAGCTACCAGACAAACCCAGGTCGCCCGCGTCGGAAAAAGAGCAAGGCTGAGAGTGCAATCGATGGCCGGGGATAGCATCCCTTACCACCGCTGCGTATGAGATCTTATCCTGCGAAGTCATCTGGCCGATGCCTTGCGCCGGCGGCATCGCTGCCACACGAGCTTCAGGCAGATCGGAGGAGTAGTCCGCGAATTATCCTCCGGTTACCTTGCTAGTTCAGCTACCAACAAGCCTATCTCCAAGGTTTGGGCTGCCTCTGTTTGTCCTATATGCGGGGCACATAAACCTGATTGTTCTGGGTTGATTGGTTTACTGCCCCTCCTTGATTTCGCCCTTGGAAGTTGTGCCCTTGATTGTTGTTGTTGGGGTAGCTCTGGTTACCTTGGTAACCTCCACGAGGAGGACCATTGTTGTAATCCCCTCGCCATTGGTTGTCTTGGTAATTTCTCCCCTGGTAATTCTGGGGAGGGTAATTTGTGTTACCCCCTATTGCCTTGAATTGCCCATGGCCCTTCTTGTTTCGTTTGGCCATATTCCAGCATGTTTACCTCCCTGTTGTTACTTACATTACAATCATCAACTAATTGACATGAATTGGTCAAATGCGGACCAAAACATATCTCACAGGAGAGTACAAGTTCAGTTGAATTAGAAACAGGTGAATAAACATTAAATTGTGATGAGTGTGGGGCAGAGTTTGAGTTCCCAAAGTATCGGGATGGTTGCTGATTCGGGGCAGCACCTATGTGGTTGACCTGGTTGGTGTGATTGTTTTCGCCCTTCAGATTTTTCACTTCCACCACCAACCCTTCAATCTTTGCGGTTAAGGCCGTGAATTGGTCCACTTCAAGATAGCCTGGTTTTGTGGCCACTGGAGTTCTTTCATCGTACCAGTATCTTTCGTTGGAAGTGACCTTCTCCACCAGAGCTTCGTTGGCGTCGGGCGCCATGTCAAGGAACGATCCCACCTGCGAAGAGAAATCAAGCTCTTATTTGCTTCCAACTTGAAGCCCATTATAGAAGTGGAACATCAAGCTGCTAGGGTCCATCAGTGTTAGTAGACACATGTTTCTCATATCCTTGAAGCGCTCCCATGCTTCATTAAATGATTCCGTCGGGAATTCCCTAAAATTTTGGATTGCTGTTTTGATTTTAGCAACCCCCGACGGAGGAAAGTACTCTTGCATGAACGCCTGGTGTAGTGCTGCCCATGTCGTGAAATGTCATGTTGGAAAACTATCCAACCATAGAGATGCCCTATCTCGAAGTGAGAAAGGAAATAGGGTCAGTTTTACGGCGTCAGGAGTCACTCCGTTGAAGCGGAATGTTTGGCACGCTCTGGTGAACCACACCATGTGGGCCCTGGGATCGTCTTGTTTGGACCCGCCAAATTGATGATTAGACATCATGTTGATAATGGCGGGTTTTATCTCGAAGTTGGCCGCCTCTATTGTTGGTGCGCTTATGCTATCATCCTCGATGAAGCTTGGCGTGAGGTTTTGCAGCACCATCTTTTGGTCTGTCATGATTGGTTTCTTGTGGATCAAAAGATTTTTCCACAAAGTTCGTTCAGGTTCAGGATTAAGTTCAAGTAGCTCTTCCACTCCTTTAGAGCGGGTGTGCATTCATTTATCCTGAAATCTTTATACAAATGTCGCAAGTGCGAAAAAGTCTCCCTAACTAGAATTCACCTATGCTAGAACTAGATTAAGAAATTACCGTGCCATTCCCCGACAACGGCGCCATTTGATGACCGCTTACGCGGTGTTGTAGTAAAATGGAGTTTAACCTTTCGGTTTTTTCCCGATTATCGTGTCTCTTGAGGAATGGCGGAGGAGTTTTCTTAATTTAGTCTTAGTCACGGGTTATCGCTAATTGTTGGAAGCTTTTTCAATACAAAAAGGTGATTGTGTTCTAGACTAGGCCAATTTGCACAATTATACTAGGAGCAAATTTCAACTAAAAGATTTAAGATCAAATATTCTAAAGATTAATGAAAAGTTTGAGGCAAGTAAGGGCAATGAATTGAGTAATTGGAAATGGATATATTCTTGGACCTAGTAATTAGGGGAATTTAAAACTAAAATTGGACTAATAATTTCTTTTCTCATAGACAAGAATAGAAATTACTTTCATTAATTTATCCTATTTCTAGGTTTCATTAATGTATTCAAAAATGGTTGGCTTGAATTAAATTCTAATCTCATAGACAAGGCATAAATAATTCTCCAAAATTTTAATTAATAAAAATAGCCAAATTCATTAACTAATTAAATTCATTATTTAAGCAATTTGAATTTATTTCTCATAGACAAGATGTAAATCTATTTCATTAAAATTATCCTATTTCTAGGCCTTATTAATCTGCTTGAATAAAGTTGGCACAAATTACTTTCTAATCTCATAGACAAGTTAGAAATAATTTTCCAAAATTT